GTCTACCCAAGGTACATATACACCAAGTATCAAAGCATTCAGGCTTGTAGTTTTCAAGAAGAAGTCGAAAAAGTAAAACATTGACACGGACGACGGACGACGACGGACGACGACGACGGACAATCACTCATATGATAAGCTCCGCTCGACAAAGTCGACAGCGGAGCTAAAAAACAGGTGTTCTTGTGCTAAAGACCTCTATTAGTAATGTATTTGTTCACATTAAATGACATTGGTGTGTCTATGGTCAAAATAAATGGTATTGTAATGATCAAGCAAACACATTTGTGCTTTCATTGAAGCAAATATGTAACTGTAACCACTTTAATTCATGAATTATGTGAGATTTTTTAGTCATGAACATTTCATTGGGATCAATCAACACCATGTGCATGACAGTACTTCAGTGCTTAAAAGACCTCAAGGGCAGCGAGTGTACATGTACCGTACTCTACCACGTTAGCGCCCATGCCCGGGCAAGCGCCCACCCCCCTTTTGCGCAATTTTTATATTCAGGGTCACATTCGGCCTTTCAAAATGTAACTTATTTAAAACTTGGTATTTGATCATTGCTTAACGAATACTGGTAGTCGTTTTTATAAGATACAGCATGGATATCGGACGCTGTGAATATGTTGTGTATGCGTAGACCATGGTGACCGTGCGTAAACTACGCTTCGACAATGACCTGTTAATACAAGTAAAATGCGGTAAATATTCCATGAAATTTGATTTTCCCTCAAAGACGTAACACCCCCCTCAATCTGTCACATGATGAATCAAAATTTTCATTTCCACTATTCTTCGAAGGGGTGCTCGAGTAAGCGCCCACCCCTAAAAAATCATGATTTTCTGAGTTGAGGCCCCTAGGCACTAACGAGGTCGAGTACGGTACATGTATATTAAAGCGTGCCCACTTCATTTTTACATATAAAGTTTACATTAAGTTTGTGAAACCATGCAATTCAGACAATGATTGAATTTTGGAAAACAACTTACAACAACAACTAATACTGTGCAGAATAGCTTCATCCAACCCAGGTACTCGGTCAGCAAACTCTGACGTAGCCATCCTTGAAGACATACTTAATGGTTGCAGCAGCTCAGGTTCCTCACTCTCTTTCTCCTCCGCTGCATTCTCGGTCTTGACTTTAACTTCATCTGGATTTGCACCGCCATCTTTATTTTTATCCTCAGCATTGGCCGACTTCGACTTGACAGACTGTGAAAAACAATTACACGTAAAAATGACAGACAGGATCATCTGTTGACGCAGTGTTTTCGCTGTCAAATTTTTACAAAGTAGAACTATTTATATTGTACTTTGAGCATAAATTTTCACAATTTTTCTTACAAAATGTTACAGATATTTAAGACTGCAAGAACCCTGTTATATTCTCGGCTACTACCATCACCAAATTCACAAAGTTTGATATCATGCTATCAACATGTTGCAGAACAACCTACTCACTTCTCTACTCTGTGTCTGCAGTAGATATGTCTCATCGTGGGGATCTTCAGAATCTCCTATATTCCTCTGCTGTGTGTGAAAGAGATTCTTACCAGCCAAGCCAAACACTTGTGGATTGAAAATTGACATCGGCGCCTGTATCCCTTCATCTCCTAGTTTGATCTGGTACAACACTGTTGGTCTGTGTGGCTGTCGAATATGAAACTCATGTAACTGTGGACCATAAATATCCTGTGGGGAAAAAAGTTAATTTTTGGTCAATATTTTGTGGCGTTGGTAGGGCAGGGGGAGGTTGTTAACATTTAACTAACATTTAAAAAATCTGATAACTTGAATGATTTTATGAATGATTTTAGTTGGAAATTCCAGTACCAGCATCAGTCTTATTGATGACCCATTTTCTCCTGAAAATAAAATGCCAATAAAAATGAAACATGGTCAAGTCCCTGCCTTTAGATTATGATTAATTAACCAAACAGTATCTGGTAAATGATAATTAAAATATAAATGAACAAATCGTGAGAAGCTTAATAGAGGAAAAATACAATGTATCGGTAAGATAGAAATCTGAATATTAGTTTTAAAGAACTCAATTAATAAATCAAAACTTGTATGAAAACTCATAGGGGAAATATAGGGAGTAAATTTACCTACCGGTTCTAAGTGGCAGAAACTCTCCTTCAACTCCTGCATGAGTAGGGAGTCCATTCTACTGGCCAAATCACACTCCTTATAGGGGAAATACACTCTACTTAACAACCAAGCAAAACATCTGGTAATGTCACTCCCACCAAATGAAAGTCGTAATCTGAAAATAAAATTCAATGTTTGATTACCGTCTTCAATTATTCAAAACATTGTGGATTTTTTGTTCTAATGGGAAATGTACTGCAGATCTAAAACGTTCTGTCATAGAGAATCATGCAAGTGCTCCTGTGTGACCAGTAAATAGTCTCTTCTCAATCCATAACTTTGGAAAGCTACATTATAATTTGTGTTACCGGTAGTTGTTTTTAATACTGTACACTGTTAAATACATCCTGACTTTGAATGAAGACATTTAAGTGGTTATCATGACACATTGCATTTTTGCATGTAATGAAATGTACACACCGATACACAGTAGCTATACCTGGTATTCCTATGTGAGAGACCATCTTCTACACATGATATGCTAGTCTTTTGATCACCGATATCCACTACACAGGCACTCTGAACACCACTACCAAAGGTGGCACACACAGACTCCTTATAAAGTAGATAATTCATGTGAACAATATTAACATAATAAGTACCGGCTTTCATATTTCTGTGATGGCCAAATAAAGTTGTGTGGTCATGGATTTATTTATCATGATATGAAATTTGTTAAAAGAAAATGACTAACACACATCAAAACTATATCGATTCAATTTCCGTAACGGCATCCTGTACACTCAATTACAAGATGCATTTCACTGCAAGAGGACATAACTTTTCGACACCAGTTCCTTTCATCACAAATTAAGGAAAAGTCCCATTTATAGTCTGCACTTTCCTTCAGAAGATTGAGACAAAAATAGCAAAGTGTTTTGAGTAAAAATGGAAAATCAACTCAAATTTTGTCTGTTAGCTCTAAAATTAGGGTTCATTTCCAGAAATAATGAAGAAAATAAGGAAAAAAAGTACAGACAAATTTGGACAAGAAAGTCTGGTGGTGAAAAGGTTAAAGCAGTGATGCATTTCAAAGATTCAACCACACTGTGATGGCTCCTTTTCCTAGAACAATACCTTTGAATAAAATATTATATTATATTATATTATATTATATTATATTATATTATATTATATTATATTATATTATATTATATTATATTATATTATATTATATTGATACAGAAAAGAAACATGCACGAGCATGATATACGCTGTTAACTGCAGATTCATAACACTCACTGTGATTGGTTCAACTCTCAGACCATTCACACAGTAAAGCCAATCAGAAAATTGGTCCCAAAATACCCATGTCACCACTTAGTAACAACAATTAAGTCAGACATTTTTGGGCAACATCAGTGTAAATTTTGTTTGAATGAAAGAAAAACATTAAAAACAAAAATTAATATCATGTAGGTAACTTGAAATTCAATCTGAGATTGTGCCAAATACCTATTTTTTTGTATATGGGATACATTGAACATGTGTAAAACCTAACAAATAGTCTTAATATCTCTGGTGTACAGGATTCACTGTAAAATATAAAATACAATATAATTATAATATAATTACCTGTATAACAATAGCTGCACCAAACCCTAGTCTGTTCAACAATAAACTCATCAACTCTTTGACGTGAGGTCTGTTATAGATATCAGGAATCAACAACACTGCTCTGTAATGCTGTGAGAAAAAGAGGTAAAAAAATTGAAATTGTTATACCTAAATACATGTAGCTAATGTAAACTGTTACAACTGAAACGTGTCATAAATTATGTGCCAGAATTTTGGAAAAGAAAAAAAATCAAAATAATAAAATAAACACAATTTTCATTCCTAATTTAAAATAAAAAAATAGGTGCATGCATAAATTTTGAAAAAGAAATTGATCAGAATTTGTTTTTGGGGCCTATCGATAACCATGAGAAGACATTTAAAAAGAGCGCCACCAGTGTCAAAATGTTGCAAAACTTTTGGTTATATATACTGTAGAACACTTTATTTTCGCTTGGAATTTAAATTCGCCATTTTCGCTGAAGGGATGATTCCGTGAAAATAAAATCCAGTGAATATACTTTTTTTCCTATATTTCACATTAAACTCATTAAAAATCAGTGAAAATAAATTCCATACAAAACGCCCAAAAAGCCTTTTCAGCGAAAATTAATTCCAGCGAAAATAAAGTATTCCACAGTATTTCTTTTGACATGTTCAGTGTTCAAATTGACCAATATGGACCCAGAGAGGGACACAAAATGCACGGAAGATGTTATAACAATAGTGCTTACCTTGAGATCTTTAACTGGAATTTCTAGTTGATTCTCAATTGCTGAACTCCATATTATTTGTAGATCCTGTATCACAGAAGTCAGGGAGCCTCCGATACCTTGATGTAAATTTAACCCACCACATCTGAATGGTCTGTGAAAATTATAGCAGTCCTGTGGACTTATATACAATGCCTGTTTGAACAGAAAATAATATTAATCAGGGATTTATCAACCTTTTGTGTGTCAAAGCATAATTTTTTTTCATTTTTCACAAAACAAATCTGCACAATTGTTTCCCTATTTTTTTGTCAAGACCTGTAGCAAATAAGAAATTCAATCCATTTGGTTCAAAATTAACAAAAAAATTATAGAAAGTTACTCTTAGTACTTAAAATTGTACAAAATGCTGCAGCAAAATTTCAATGAAAAAAATTATAGTGTTCTAAATGGTCAGAGTACTTGCACTGTTTTCCATCTGAAATTCAACCTTTTCACCTCCAGACTTTCTTACCCAAATTTTTCTGCAATTTTTTACTTATATATTCTTCAATATTTCTGGATATGAACCCTAATTTTAGATCAACAACAACATTTGAGTCAAGTATCAGTTTTTACTCAAAAAATTTGGTTAAGGGTATTTTTGTCCAAATCTTCTGTAGGAGAGTGCAGACTATAAACAGGACTATATGTTGTGAATTTGAAATAAAAAGAGGGAACTGCTGGTTAAAGGTTAATAGATGATGAGTATTTTGGAGTTATGTGCTTGGTAGTTACTTATTCTCACTTGCAATTTTGACCTTGCAATGTCATAGAACATTCTGTTTTGCTAAGACACGCACCACTGTACTATGTACTTCTATGGGCTCTGTGCCAGCTGCTGTGGAACACCAGTCAAAGCTGGTGACAACAGCTAAAGTCAAGAAAACAGCACAAACTCAACTAAGAGACAATTCTGAATGAACAAATTTATATAATATTTATTTTTTTACACTCTTCAAGAGAGTCTCAACAACTAGCCCATTTGAAGTATATTGTTTGTGAGAGTTTTTGACGATTGTTTTGACTGATTGTGATTGACAGACGATGAAAATGCCTGGATGTTCGCTTCTGAGAATACCTGTTATAGCTACTGTCCTTTTAGATCTACTCTTTTGTTGTCAAACAAGTCACAAGTAATTTGGGACAACCTCGGCCACAGTGTCCATCCTGCACCTTGGGAAAGTTTTGGATTGTCTCGACTAACCTTATGTGTGGCACAATGATCAGTGTGTACACAAAGAAACAAGACAATTGCATTTTTGACTTCCCACTCAGTAGTGAAAAAAAATTTTTTAGTTGTTAATATATAGTTATTTGGGTATTCATAATTGGAAAAATGGCTTCCAGTAGGAAGAGACGTGAAGCTGTTGGTCCTGTCCTCAGATCAGGTGAAAAATGACAGCATTTTTGTCCTAAGATCACAAGAGGGCGCAGTGTGTAACCAATCTGATTAAAATAAGATCCTTGTGGGGATATGTTTATATTTCTTTTTTTATTATTTTATTAAAATTGTTGTTTTATTTGCCAATATATTTGTTTTCGTTCCTTTCTATGAGTTTTTTTTTTTTTTTTTTGGTTCGCAAAATCTATTAAAAAAAAATCACAAAATCAAAATCAAAGTAAAATAATAAAATAAAAAGGCATTAATAACAAAAGTAATAAAAAATAAAATACAAAAAAAGTCAAAAAATTAAAGCCCGTACACTACATCAGATTTTAATCAGATTAAGTGTGTACCATGAGGTAAATGGAGTCAGACATGACATACCATATAAGGTTTAATTATTAGCTGGGTTTTATTTTCACAGGATGCTATTATTGCTCCACAAACTAGTGAATTTAAAACCCAGTAAATATACAGTAGAATACTTTATTTTCGCTTGGAATTTATTTTCGCTATTTTCGCTGAAGGGATGATTCCGTGAAAATAAAATCTAGCGAATATACTTTTTTTCCTATATTTCACATTAAACTCATCAAAAATCAGTGAAAATAAATTCCAAGCAAAACGCCCAAAAGTCTTTCAGCGAAAATTAATTCCAGCGAAAATAAAGTATTCCACAGTATACCAAATCTGTGCAACCGCAGTCATATCCCTCTTTAAAAAATCATGAATAAATTATGGCGGGCTTTGCATGTTATCGATGATTATCACTAGCATTCAGCAAACTATTTTAAAGCGTGGAGTCGTCACCTGCGTATGCGTCAGATGGCCATAGTGTGTCACTGTTTACAAACAAGCGTCTACCCATGAGCCTTTGCATTTTTAGCGCGTGTTGTTATCGTCGCTTCGAACTCAATTCCCGCGCGTGCGCACGTGACGACCCTCTTGCTTTAACAAGAAATAAACTGGAAAGACAATTCTAGATCTTTTCCTACCTCTTCTCCCACTACATATTCCGGCAGATGTTGAGTGTCTGTCCATTTCAATCCAGAATTATCATCTAGTTGTTGTGGGATCACAGTACTGTTGTACACAGAAACCTATAGGAGACATGGAATATACTGTAAAATAATTTATTTTAGCTGGAATTAATTTTCACTGAAAAGACAGGTGTTTTGTAAGGAAATTATTTTCACTGATTTTTGATGAACTGAATGTAAAATATAGGAAAAAATAATATTCACTGGATTTTATTTTCATTGAATCATTCCTTCAGCGAAAATTAATTGCAAGCAAAAATAAAGTATTTTAAGTACTATGAAGCTTAAACAAAATTTGATAGAACATTATGCACTAAGAAGTACATGGAATCATTCTCTTTTCTTTCTGATGTTCGCCATAGTTGCCTGGCTTTATATTTTCTATTTGAATAATGAAACAAGAAATGTAATAATGTAAAATACTTTACATTAGCTGAAAGGACATTTTGTTTTTTTTGTAATGAAGTTTATATTTTCACTGATTATTGATGAGTTGAGTGTAAAATATAGAAAAAAAGGTATTTTCGCTGGATTTTATTTTCACTGATTCATCCCTCCAATATAATCCAAGTGAAAAAAAAAGTTATTTTACAGTATACAGAATTTGTTTGATTTAAATTAGTGAGCAATGAACCTGTTCTGGTGATGTTGTTATTCTCCTCTGTCCAGTGGATAATCCCAGAGACCAAACTTCACGTTCAATTTTACGCAGCCCTTGATCCATCTGCTGTTCACACTCTGCATGCTATCAAAAAACAAATTTTAAAACAATTAATTTATGTTACTAAATTTTAAAATAGTTTTTACACCTGTGAATATACGAGTATCACAAGTGGGAGGGTTGAATGGAATGACCACTAATTAGAGAGCAGTGGATGTCATGCTGCAATGTGTTAGATATGGGGTCTTTATCCATTACCGTATATCATAGCAGTTCAGTGTAATAAAGCAGTGTAATAATTCTCTATATCTCCATACTATGTAATACAAATCCTGGCAATCTGATTGGACCCTGCAAGCAGGTTGACCTTTTGACATCATGACTGTCTATCGCAAAATATATCTTAAGATTTTGGTGGTTTTACACAATATTTCTTGAATTATTATTAAGAAACACATTAGTTTGAATATTACACTGGTAGTGTCAGATAATGGCTAGAACGTGTGTGTAATATGAAGTTGAATGTGAGATGCCATTTCAAATTTTCCCAACCTCAAATTCTCCGTGCATAAAAATATCTTTCATCCACGTCTAATGACGATTTGTTGCGGATTGTGAAATGGTCATGGTTTTAATTACCAGTAGTTATTATGTTACCAATGCATGCCCGAAACCACAAGTATAGCCAAGGCTCAAAAAATAACTACCGGTATATGTAACTATATTATATGCAAATCAAATAATCTGGAATTTTGTCATGTTCACAGATTACGATTTTAGTCTTTAGTAGCTGCGAAATGGATACATGGGATAAACAGGATATCAAATTTGTGACCTGCAATATCAAAACTATTTAACTGTATTTTGTAGTAAATTCTATTTGTTCCTCACTAAAGGCTCGAAACAATTGAAAATGACAACACTCATTTAATAAATCTGATATTGTAGATTCAGTCATGAGATATTCTCTATATCCATTATTATGACACATCATAAATGTTTACAATTACAATTCACTTCTGATCAAGGTAAGGATGATCATTCCAATGTTCCCTACTACTTACATTGGTTTCATAACGAAGTACGGTGTAATCTTCGTGTACAGGTTGTCCGGTTGTTTTGTGTCTTTTAGCAATAATATGTGGAATACATACAGGCACTGAGTCTGATGCACGTCCAAGTCTCAAGTTAGCAGAGCCAGGATGAATAATTACAATTGCAGTAGTTTGTATTGGCTTTGCAAAATAAAAACAGAGGTCATTATTAACATACAGCAATGTTATTGTGTCACCATCAATTTGTCTTTTTAATTAATACTTATTTTTTCAAGACTGAAATTACACATATGATATATAATCTTCAATTTGGCATTGAATAATTATGAAGGCGAAAAAAACATAGAGCGATTCTGGATCTATTGGTAACACAGTTCTGGATCTATTGATAATGCAAAACTAGTCTCAAATAAATAAATCAATAAATATTCATGAAGTTCTTAAGGCAGATTGAGTCAAAATGAAATCTGCACTACTGAGGATGTTACTGCAGAAATAGATTTAAGATATTCGTTATTACTACAAAAAAGAAACACATTTTTCTAGTTTGTTTGTAGTGTGATAAAGATATTCTTTCAAAATTAACTAAATGTTTAACATTGATAAAATCATTCAAGGAATTGTTTTCTGATTGTTGTTCCTGTTTTTAAATAGACTTTAATTTCATCAATTATAGATGAAATTTTTGCCTATATTTGCTTGATGAATGTTTCAGTTTTGTTAAAATGATTATTTGATTTTGAGAAAAAATGAATACGCTGTATTTCTTGGTTCACTAAGTAGAATGCATGGTGTGATAACAAATCTCATCTTCAATTATATTACAATCTCTATATTTTCCCTGGTGTAATTCAATTGTTGGTCTCTGATATTGTCTAGTTTCTATATGCATCCTGTGTAAATTCAATCCTAGTTCCATCCTTGTGTCAATGTTACTGATCTTGTTGTTATACTGTAGAATACTTTATTTTAGCTGGAATTCATTTTCGCTGAAAAGACATTTTGGGTATTTTGTATGGAATTTATTTTCACTGAATTTGACAAGTTGAATGTAAAATATATGAAAAAATGTATATTCGCTGGATTTTATTTTCACTGAATCATTCCTTCAGCAAAAATAGCGAAAATTAATTCCAAGCGAAAATAAAGTATTTAAATTCATATCAATAATAAATTATAACATTACATTACATAATTTCAACATAGAAACCAGTGCATAGCAAGTTTTTACAATTTTTCAACACGATTTTGTTTTTATATTCGTAATGGCACAAATTAATAATAATAATAATAATATAATAAAATTATAAGGAGGATGGCGTATGATCTTTAATTCAGCTATGAATAATTATGAAGGCGGAAAAAACAGCTATTGCACGTATTACCCTCAGCTTTGAGTCTATAGTATTATTGGGAAATACAGTATTACTAAAGAATATGCAAGGAAACAAAGGCTACATTCGCCGATTCGAGTAGAATTGTACTTACTTCGACGGCTGGATCAGGTATTGGTGAGTGAAACTGCGTTCTAGGTTTATCTTTCTTCGGTGTTGGTCCTATGGGTGCCATGCTGATTAAATTATCACTAGTCGTACATCTGTCATGTACATTCGTAGCAGAAGTCAGAAAACCATCGCGGTGTGTAGTTATTCTGTGACGTCACCACTTTATGTGTTGCTCATTCCGAGAAATAATTACCATTTTTGTTTGTAATTATGATATTATTAATATTTATTCATATTACGCACAATTTAATATCTAAATAAATATAATAGAATAAAATTAAAACAAATTAATACAATTAATATGATTTAAAATTAAATATATTTAGTTCAATAAAATAACAGTACGCGTTCGAGGTTACTTCGTAAGATGGCTGACATCTTACTGATTCATTTCCTGGTTTTCTCCGTGATCGTTGTCAGTTCGACGTTTCCTAAGTTGATCGGAGCTGACATTGACAGTTATTTGAGAGAAATAGAAGTAAACGTCGATCGGCTTGCAGCTGATGTAAAATTACTTTACTCCAACAAGTGTGGGACTGATTGTTCATACCTTTCTTCGAGGTTAGACCACTGTGTTATTGTTGTCGTCGCCGTGTTTATTTGGCGAAATAGAATAGATTCTCGAGATACTCAAATGTGCCCGTTGGTTTTATATTTGTCGTTTCACCCAGATAGATTCGTCGAAACGATGTTTTTCCCAATGGTGTTCAGTCCCAATACTGTTTCGTCCCAGTGACAGTTTTGTTTTGTGACAGTTTATTGAAGGTGATTACCGCATCGAAATGTTATGTCCCGCAATTTAAAATAAGTAAGTCGGAAAGATCGGGTCTAAATCGCGCAATGAAATTTTCCGACCCTACAATTTAAAAAGTACGTTTGGTTCTAGTTAACTAATTCGAAAAGATTGTTACAAATAAAGTCGAGTATTATATATTACTTCCCACGATTTAGAAAGTATGAAAATAAACTGCCTTATCCCTGACAATTGGCGCCATATCACTGACAATTTGTTTTTTATATACCCAGTATATGGTAATCATACAACAAGATTAATTAATTTAATGGCGCACTGAGTTGATATGTTAGTGTATATATGCATCAACAGCTTATTATTTTAATTAAAAGTGATTTCATTGGCACAACCTTTAAAAATATAGTGATTAATAATATATAATTTGCTGGTTCACACATTTTTTCTATACACAAACTTACACAAAATGTTGAGAGAATGGTATAATCTTGGGTCAAAATGGCATTGAGACGAAATGATATTTGAATAAAACAGAATAATTGTGATTAAACAGCTCATAGTAAGCTGGCTTACAACTAATAATAAAATAATTACAACTAATTTAGCAATGTCTACCATCTTCAATCTGACCTTAACCTAAGAAGAAAATATTAAAGTTGTGAAAGGTGTTTTTTAAATTCCTACAAATCACAGAAAAATCCCAAACTGTCTCAGCCTAAAAAACTATTATAGTATCTTTAAGCCAACTGCTGACAAAATTTGACAACATTCAGCTTGATTGCATTGACAAACTAATATCTGCCTTATGTCAGTATACCAGTACTGTGAGTTTGTTTTTAAAATTAAAAATTATAATTAATTCAAATTTATTGTCTTGTGAGTAGTCATCCCAGTTTGCAAATACACTGTGTCTGTAAGTGAAGCAGTCTGTATGGATGCCGCACTGTGGTAAAAGAGTATATATTGTGGCTAGTATGCTATGTTACATATGTGTATTATTGCATTATTGTCTTTTATTTCTTACATAACACAGTAATGAATTAGCATGCACTACCAATGACATATCAGAACATGACGGAACATTTTGTTCTACTGATTATGGAGAATCTGTGCTCTCTTCAAATGGTTGTCAACTCTGTTCAAACAGGTAGGAATACATTATACTTACAGTTAATGAGGAACATACTGTAGAGGTATTACTTTTCACTGGTATTTGATTTTCAATATTTCGATAGTAAATCATACTCACTAGCTGGTTTAACACTGGATGAAAAAATGAGTTCTATTGTAATATTACCTATTTACTTGGTTTTAATGTAGCACATTTCATTTATCAGTGAAAATAGCAAAACATAAACCCAGTGAATAATTATTGTGTTTACAGTACAGTAGGTACATTTTGTTATCACATCTTTTTTTGGATAAAATATTTGATGGCACACACACATTTTGCTGGTCAATTTGTCAACACAGGGCGCTGTGCAGTGGTGAAAAAAACTAGAAAACTACAACATTATTTTTTTTTTTGGTATAACTTTATTGCATCATTCAAAATAGATTTTTCTAATAAGTTTATTATTAACTCATAATGAAGTAATACAAATAAATTGAAATAAAAGAAATAATGGTGCATTTTTGAAATATTTTTTCTCATAATAATACCACTTCAGAAATAAAAATTTGAGTGGATAGGCATTTTGAGAAAAAAAATTTAAAAAATATAGAATGAAAAGTGTGTGTATGTTACATATAAAATTAAAATGATAAATCAAAATACAATGAGATTGGGTGCAGCTAATGTACAGCTGGATAATTCGGAATTGTATGACAGCAATTGTCTGTGAGGGAAATTCAATACAACTTTAATTTTTGTATCCAAAATTGGTGACCCCTAAATAAAACTAGATGTGTTAATGAAAATTACTCCATGATTAAAAACTTGTTTTTGGTTTTCTTTTCTATTTTAGAAAATTAAATTCTGCATTTTCAACAGTAAGGACCTCAAGTGAGAGTGCCACATGTAGTGAGGAGGTAACTGCCACAAGATGTTGGTCTAAAGGTGAAAGTACTAAAATGTATTATGTATTTGACAGTGAACTTCAAGATTACCGGTACATCTGATCTAAAAAAAATTGAGACTGTTTAGTATAAATCATTCGATAACAAAGTCTTAAGGGATTTTATATATTTTGTTGTTATACTCATGCTATTACTTCATTTGCAGGTTTAGATGCAACGTTTCAAGAAATTGGAACATGGTCTCCTGAACTAATCAGGTGGCAGTTTTTTGCCAGTTCCACAGGAATGTTCAGGTCAGTATCATGGGTTTCTTAAATGAGCAGAATATGTGTGCATTCTACAAATCTGGTACCGGTATTGATATTTTTTGCTTGCTTGATTTATGAATCATTTCTTTGATGATATTCTCATAAAATGATTGTACCGTACTTCTATTTCAAAGAATGCAACTAGCAGGAATAGCGATCTATTTCAAACATTCCCTCCCACTGACACAGCCTCTCATTGAAAGGTTTCTTTTTACCATATGTATTTTTATGAAATTTTTATGACTTTTCTGGAATTACAATGTAAATGGAATCCTGTTGAAATTTCACAACAATAATTTGTCTTATGGAATAACACTGACAACACAACTCAATTACTTTTACTGAATTTCTATAATTTTTCAACACATCGCTGAATGTGGCCGGCAAATGAATATCACTGTCCTTAATAACCATAACAACTACCGGTATACTAGTATATATTCTTACACAAAATAAAAAATATATATATTTTTCATTCCAGAATTCATCCTGGAATAGCACAAGAGAAATGTTACGACTTTGATCCCAGATCAAGATACTGGTATGTATCTGCAAGTACTGGACCCAAAGATATCGTCATTTTATTAGACACCAGTGAGTCAATGTCATTTGTACCGCCATCTAGTGGTACCTCTGAGACATTGTTCAAGTTGGCAAAGAGCGCTATCAAGCATGTCTTACGAACGTTAAACTTTGTTGGTGAGTGACGTACGACTATCATCTCTGTACATTCATGTCATTAATACCTTCTGTTTTCTATTTTCATTGAAATTCAGAAGTATTTCAAATTTGTTGATCAAAAACTAGAAGCAATGACACATTTTGTTTGTTCACTCCAAAATGAAGATTAACTTCAGTGACAATTACAGAAAATCTGAACAAACTTTTGAGCAGGATATTTTTACATCCATACATTTGAAAGCTTTTTACCATGTAGCAGCAATGTAGCAGAATCATTTGTTGATAAGATCAATGTAATGTATTCATGCCTTCTTTAATATTAGTAATAACTTTATTGCATCTTTAGTGTTTCTATCAGTTTATACTGTAAAGGGGTTAATTATTCACTGGGTTTTAATTTAGCTTATTTCGCTGGCTGGAAAATGTGCTAAATTAAAACCCAGTGAATATGTAAAATTTAGCATAGAACACATCTAAATGATAAAACCATGAATTTAAAACCCACTGAATATGCCTGAAATGGTAAATCAGTGAAATTTAAACCCAGTGAATATTTGTCATTTTACAGTACTTTATAGCAGCAAAGATGAAATAAAAAAAACAAATAATGATACAAAAAAAAAAAAAAAATTAGTCAGCGGTGTTGTTCATAATCATGGAAGGAGAAATGTATGAATTGACTAACACTTGTGATTATATTTTTGTTACTACTTTGCGATATTCTCGTAACAACCTCATATTACATGTATCTTGGTTTTCAGATTACGTTGCTATTGTCTTATTCTCAACTGAAGCCAATCAATTAACCATCCAGGGAAAGAGTACACTGATGAAAGCTACACGTGCCAATCTGTTTGATCTAATGGTGGGTAATTTGCATATTCGGGGATATATTTCAGTTTCAGATGGTAGACATAATGTGGATATTATTACCATTATACTGGTATCAGTGTACAAAATGATGTATTAGTTATGTATTGTATAGCCAGGATTTTTACCTCTGTCTGTTAACAGAAACTGTTAATTACGTTTTGAGTTCTATCCATCCATCCGACATAATTTCCCAGACATACTAGACTGATCTTGTGCAAAGGTGATAGAAAAGCATATGCACCTTGATTATTTGTTTTTGTTTTGTTGACTTTAAACCAAATACCGGTAGTGATCATTTCATCCCTGTCTGTTAACTCTAATTTTGGACCAAATGGACTTAATAACCCACTATAACTTCTAGATCAAAATTAAAAAAAAAATATGGAAACATTACTTGTATTTTGTGAATTCTAATAACATTGATCATGATTGCATGATCTTACTAAAAATATAATTAGCATGGTCTTAGAATATTGTTTAAAGCGAGAGGGTCGTCACCTGCGCACGCGCGGGAATTGAGTCCCAAGCTCATGGGTAGACACTTGTTTGTAAACAATGACATGCTATGGCCACCTGACGCACGCGTAGGTGACGGCTCCCCCGCTTTAATAAGGTGTGGAACATAATAAATGCAGAAAATGTGAGCACATGTTAGAAATATGTTCAAACCCAACTACAAGTATATTACGTTTGTGGATTTTCAGAGATATGTTATGAACTCCAGGGAAGTTTACTATCTAAACAAAGAACAGTGCAAACGTATTTCAATGCCATAACTGATATAAATAATACATTTTTGCTATTCTAGTTTTGACTACTGATTCGTTTGTTCAAATCAAATGACCTCACGCATATTTTTAGATAGAGTTTTAGATAACTCACATCTATGGTATTTCCCATATTGTTGGAATATTTGGTGTAGCTATGTATCAACTTTAACTTTTCTACTCTCCTAGGAAGAGCTTGATAAAGTGACATTGGACTTGCATACTAACTTTGAAGCGGGATTCCGGCTAGCCTTTGATATCTTAGATAGATCAGCAAGAGTTGGTAGGACCGCTAACTGTCATAAAACCGTGCTGTTCCTAACGGATGGCGCACCGACTAGAGGAGAGACAGATGCTGCAAAGTTACGTAATATTGTACAGCAGTTCAATACCGAGTAAGTTTTATCTGATAAATTCTGCTGTCATACAACTTAGTTTTATGTGAGTCGAACATTGTGGCATGATATTTGCGTAAAATTATTTCAGTTCGGTTTTTGATCAACAGGAATTAACTTCTACATACTATGAGGTTATTGGAGTAGTAAAAGTAGGAGTATCAACCCCCCCACGCTACCTCTGACCGTGTACTGTCTGATTGCATACTTTGCGGTATCCTCATGATAGCCTCAACCGATTGGTGCAGGAATCCCTGAACTGAGCAAGATGGTGAAAATTGTTAGAACTTTCACGCTATGAACTTCATTTTCAAAATTGTCCGCCTTTTTGGAAATACCATGTAATCGTTCAATATTTGGAATGCACTTTATTAAAAGCAGGATGCAGATACCCCCGTGCAATTCTGCAAAATTATGGCATGCTGTAACATATGGTGATACAGTGACAAATATATAACAATATACAGTAAATGTGAGTTTGTCCTTGCTACCAAAGATTAGTCACTTAAAGTGACACTCTGATCCGTTCTCTAGTTGGTCTTTTAACGTACATTGCATAACCAAACACAATGTATAATATTGACATTAAAACAAAATGATGTGATCAAGTAAAACATGAGATGTGATGTTACACATACACTCTGTTAATCTCATGACAATCATTTTCTCGCCTGTCCACCTTGTAGCTCAGATGGAAATAAAATTGCAACCATTTTTACATACTCTATTGGACAGTATGCAGAAACAGCAATCACAAAGCAGATAGCCTGCGAGTAAGTAAATTTAATTTGATTAGTAGGCATATGGTGGAAATTTGATTAATAGACATATAGTGAAAATTTGATTAGTAGACATATGGTAGAAATTTGATTAGTATGCATATAGTGGAAATTTGATTAGTAGATGTGTGAAAGAATTTGATTAGTAGGTTTATGGTGGTAATTTGATTAGTATGCATATAGTGGTAATTTGATTAGTAGATTTATGAAAGAATTTGATTAGTAGATTTATGAAAGAATTTGATTAGTATGCATATGGTGGTAATTTGATTAGTAGATTTATGAAAGAATTTGATTAGTATGCATATGGTGGTAATTTGATTAGTATGCATATGGTGGTAATTTGATTAGTAGATGTATGAAAGAATTTGATTAGTAGATGTATGAAAGAATTTGATTAGTATGCATATGGTGGTAATTTGATTAGTAGATTTATGAAAGAATTTGATTAGTAGATTTATGAAAGAATTTGATTAGTATGCATATGGTGGTAATTTGATTAGTAGATTTATGAAAGAATTTGATTAGTATGCATATGGTGGTAATTCGATTACTATGCATATGGTGGTGATTTGATTAGTAGATTTATGAAATATTTTGATTAGTAGATTTATGAAAGAATTTGATTAGTATGCATATGGTGGTAATTTGATTAGTAGATTTATGAAAGAATTTGATTAGTATGCATATGGTGGTAATTCGATTAGTATGCATATGGTGGTAATTTGATTAGTAGATGTATGAAAGAATTTGATTAGTAGATTTATGAAAGAATTTGATTAGTATGCATATGGTGGTAATTTGATTAGTAGATTTATGAAAGAATTTGATTAGTATGCATATGGTGGTAATTTGATTAGTATGCATATGGTGGTAATTTGATTAGTAGATGTATGAAAGAATTTGATTAGTAGATGTATGAAAGAATTTGATTAGTATGCATATGGTGGTAATTTGATTAGTAAATTTATGAAAGAATTTGATTAGTATGCATATGGTGGTAATTTGATTAGTATGCATATGGTGGTAATTTGATTAGTATGCATATGGTGGTAATTTGATTAGTAGATATATGAAATAATTTGATTAGTAGATGTATGAAAGAATTTGATTAGTATGCATATGGTGGTAATTGGATGAGAGGCATATACTGAGCATTTGAATATGGCGAAAAAGGGTGATTAGCAGAGATGTGGATATTTGATTAGTGTGCATGTTGCGGAAATTTGATTTGTATACATATAGTAGAAATTTGATTAGTAGA